TACATATTGTATGTATGTATCTAAACTGTTCTGTCATATCCATTGTATTTAATTCAACACTATGAACTACCCACATGGTATCTGCTCTCACGGTTATTTATCCATCCTAAGGTTGCCTGGAAGAGATTGCTGTAAGCGATAAGGCCGCCCATTGTGCAACATGCCAAAACTATTTTTTTTTTTTACCTACCTACTATTTTCTTGTTCGTGTCTTTTGTAAGTGGTGTACAATAAAGTGTTTATTATTATTATGTATGTCTTTACCATTCACGGGACCACAGGGTCCCGGTCATTTGGGAGGCGTACGAGGGGCCGAAGCCAACTGCGCAGAGGCCCTTTAGACAACTTTAATATAAATGTAATGGACACACAAACCGGCGACTATCCCTGTATGCACTATGGAAATGCATCCAAGGACAGTCCCCGGTTAGTGTAGAACTATTGTGAATAATGGAAAAAAAAAAGGTAGGGCTATGGATGGGTTGCTGTGGACTGGTAAATTGGGAACTATGGATGACTATGGCACCTGCCGAAACAATGTAATTTTTACACGTAAAAATGGCAGGCGGAGACTCGCCAACTCACCGACCGGGCCCCGGGAATGGTTGCTAGATATAGCAACAGAGGGGCAACGAGAATGTGAGTGGCTGAAGGGTTAAGAAACTACCATATTATTAACGCCGTAACTACTGAACCGATTGCTTTGAATTTTTTCTAGAGGGAAAACGAAATTATTGGTATAGATGGTGCTGTGTGTATTATATGTCACATGGGTTTTTTATCTTTTTGTGATGCGTGCGAACCCGCGGGTAAAAGCTAGTAACATAAGTAGAAAATAAGTGTTATATTCGTACACCGATTTGGTAGAATGTAAGAATAATTAAGATAAAACATCTATTGTAACTACATGCTAACAAATATTTTTTTTTCTTTCTTTCTTTCGTTCTTTCTACTCATAATAATTTAATTTATTTCTCAAATAGCTGTTACAGTTTAGACTTACGACTTAGACTTAAAACAGTTATCTTATAATTAAGAAAAAGAGCATCCGCGACCGAACTAGGCCTGTATCTTGGCACGCAGCACCAATTCCCCGCAATAAAAATTACACATAACATAACATCACGCCCTTTAACCCCGCAGGGGCAGGCAGAGGTGCACATTATCCCACTGTACTACAATGTTATAGTAGTAGTATACTTTTCACTATTTTTTTTAATAATTTAATTAAATTTAGTCCCATGTAATAGGGGGTGAGCCTATTGGCTACCGAGCTCAATGCCAGACTCCATGCTACTTCTGAGATTCTTTTAAAAACCCAGTAGTACTTTTCCCGAACCTGGAATCGAAACCGATACCACTTGCCCGGCAGTCGCACTTGCGACCACTCGGCCAACGAGGCAGTCTTAAAACAGTTATCGTATAATTAAGAAAAGGAGCATCCGTGACCGAACTAGGCGTGAACCTGTATCTTGCCACGCAGCGCCAATTCCCAGCAATAAAAATTAGTTATAAATAAATATTGAGTGTGAAATTATATATTTGTGTGAAATTATTTTTTAAATGAGGTTTTCAAAATATATTACATCACAGACTAGTTTATACAAAAATAAATTCAAATAACAATAGTTACAGCGTGATACAATCATTTATTTCAGTAGGTAAATTGTATTCACAAAATACAATATAAAAATATGAAAAACTAAGTAGATGTTGCCTGTGATTTCGTCCGCGTAGAATATTACTCCTGTTTTATCCCATGGGAGCATTTAATCGGGATAAAAAGTCCTATCTATCACCTAAGTCACCCCATACCGTGCCGGTATACCAGTGTGATTGACGGATAAACAACCAAACAAAGAAACTTTCACATTAAAATATTAGTGTGATATATGAAGATTACTGTTACAATCAAGTTCCTCAACCAATGCACCAGCCAATCTTACAGATAATAAGAACTAAACAAAACTATACATTAACACACTAATCACTAACTTATAAAGTTATAACACGTACAAATACAATATAATATTAGTTACTAACTCTACATGTCCCTTAAACTGTCAAACACCAAGCGGTCACCGGTGACCGCGACCTATTGTTCTTTAATTGTGTCTATAAAACCGGTACTCGACGAGTTAATGTATGACATAAATTATACACAAACTAATTTCTCACAAATAAGATATAAGACGTAACAAAAATATTTATTTGTCACACGTAAAGTGTAAGTGTGTGTCAACCCTACAACGAATACTACTTATTCTCTAACACGTATCAGAATGACATTTCTAACACTGACATGTATCAGAATGACATTGCTAGCTCTAACACGACATATAATAATCAGAATTGTGTTTGTTTTTATTATTATGTTAACATGGAAAGAAAGTATACAACTTTCTTATACTTATTTCATTACTAGCTGTGCCCACGACTTCGTCCGCGTGGAATAGTGATTCACAGCTCCGCCTCCGTCGGTGACAGCGTGATAATATATAGCCTATATGTTGACCTGATCTGTTAGTAATACGTAAGTATACTTTTTGAGTTTAGCCCGGACATACATACAGACAAACAGACAAAAATTCTAAATACCATATTTCTAGCTTCGATATCGATCGTAGATCACGCTTCAAGCTTATTTAAAAAATATTCTATGTACAGTTTTCAATTTCCTGCGATTTTATTATATGTCTATAGAAATATAGATTTTCATATTTCATATTTTATTAACTCTCTCTCTCAAAGTCTCAGGCAAAGGGGTCTCAGGCAAAGCAATGCTGTGTTTAAATAGATTTTTCAGAATAATATCTCACCTACACAATACAGATACGTTTTAAGGCAGAAAATCATCCAATGTCTCTTCCCTCGCCTTGGGTGAGGCGAGACCCGTGTTCTTTTACTTAAAAAAACCGTTTCCCCACACTAGGATTTTCTCCTATATCGTAGGTGCGTTTACAAACATACAAGTTCACATACACATGACACCCAGATCCGGAACAACAATTTGTGGATCATACAAAGAGTTGCTCCGTGCGGGAATCGAACCCGCTACAACTTGCGTGGAAGCCGGTTGCCCAGCCACCGCGCCAACCGTGCAGTTCAGCCAACAGTCTGGTGTTCCACCCTGCTCCTACTAGGTTCCACTGCTCCAGGCTTCCACGGCTCCAAATATAATATTACAGAGGCTGGAGACTACTTAGGACTCTTAAGGTGACATGTAAAATGTGGATATTGTGGGTGTACAATTGCACATACATAAAGAAATACATAGCAAATGTACATTTCTGCCCAACCCTTCAAGAATTGGGTGTTACAACAAAACACAGAAAAGTCTCAATACCATTTCTAAGAAAATTTAAGCCCGGGCAAGCAATTAGAGAATTACTTAGAACACAAATTATTTTCGTATAATTTAGCCGGACCGGGTGTAAGGTTGTGAAGCGGTCGCTAATGGCCACCGGACGTCCGGATCAGCCGTCAAATGAACCGGGTACAATGCCGGATGAGTTGTTCAAGACGGTAGTAATTACAGCTGGGTGTTAACCTGTACTTATAGGTATATTCGCATTAAGGCGTGGAATTCTTTGCCAGAGTCTGTATACCTAGCAGTCTTCAAAGCCTGAGTGAATAGGTTGCTTATGGGACGACGTGCTCCATTGTAGACCGCATCATCGCTTACCACCAGGCGAGATAGTGGTCAAACGTATAAATATTAAATATAATGTAAAAATTATAAAGTCAAGCCTTGATGGATTTCGTAAAATCGAGTAATTATTAACATTTAGTGATTGGTCCACTACGAGATTGTAGGCCAAGTCTAAATAAAAGAGCTTGACAAAATCTCAAGGTGAACTGCATATCGCAGTTCAATAAGTTCAGATTTATCAGAGTGCTGCTGACAACATTGAATCTACAAATTGGCGTCCCATAGTCTCTGCATATTCCCATAGGAAACAGGCGCTATGTAACTATGTATACAAAATCTGTGGATTTTGTTTTTTAAGGGGGGAAAATCGTCGAATGACTTCTCGCGCCTGGGTGAGGCAGGATCCCTCCTGACTCTTACTGACTAAAACCACCCCGTTCCTTCTCTTGTGTATGATCTGTGGATAATCTGTGGATAAGGATCTATTTTTGACATAAGTTGCATACTCCACCAAACTGGAGGGCGCCCTACACTACGTTTAGCTAGACACGGTCTCCACTCCAGAACACGTCTACCCTAGCGTTCATTGGTTCTTCGACAGATGTGACCGGCCCACTGCTTGCGACCCATTGCAGCTTGCTAATCCTTTGGACTACATCAGTAACTTTAGTTCTCTATCAGATCACCTCGTTATAGATCCTATCCCGTAGATAAACTATAAGCATAGCCCTCCATAGCTGTCGCGGAGAACCTAACGGGTAACCGGGGCTCCGGCTCGACGTGCAGGAGAAGGAACGGGGTGGTTTTTAGTCAGTAAGAGTCTGACACTCCCTCCTGCCTCACCCAGGCGGGAGTAGTCATTCGATGATTTTCCCCCTTTAAAAAAAAAGCCCTCTACAGCTCGCTGCGCGACCATAAATTGGTGAATCAGTCGCACTGTTAGTGTCCACGTCTCGGCTCCGTATATCATTACTAGTAGGACGCACAGTTATTACCTAAATTTCGATAAAACTACTCTTGGACTTGTCTAAATATCGAGAAAAATCTAGCAATAATAATTTTTAAACGTCAAATATTCAACCAATAACGTATGCGTTCACGTTATCGATTGCACTCTCTATCAGTTCAATAGATAACTTTATCAAGTGGTATCAAACATTGTCTTATCATGACACAGTTTCACACTGCTGTTGTCTTTATTAGACTCAAAACATAGACATTGTTTCAAATAAATTCGTGTTTTTATACTTTTTTTTAACAAAGAAGTAGTGTTTAAGTCTCTTTTTTGAATACTTTTCGAGTATTTTTAGTGATTTCTTCGAGTATTTGTTAAGTTTTGTGTATTAAAATGGAGAATACAGATGAAAGTTCTGCCGATATAAAGGGTTTTAATCTGAACCCTTCTAATACCAGGTAAGCTGATATTGAGATATCTTATTCTATTATATAAAGTGGAAGAGTTTGTTTTTTGTTTGTTTGTTTGTTTGAACGCGCTAATCTCCGTAACTACAAGTCTGGTTTGAATAATTCTATTTGTGTTGGATAGCGCATTTATCGAGGATGGCTATAGGCTATAAAACATCACGCTACAATCAATAGAAGCTGAGCAGAGCGTGTGAAACCGCGCGGAAGTAGCTAGTATTTAAATATATTTAGATACATACAATTTTACTAGTTTGTATCGTCTGAATTATTTATAAAATTATTTTTATTTGTATAATGACACTTTATTATGATTTTTAGGTATTACTATCTCAATGTAATCTAGGTCTCCGTCTATTAGTGAACGAATTACTCGTCTCTTATTTAAATCAGTTTTAAATACACGAGTAGCAAAGAACGCACCCTTTTAATACCTGAATATCACAGCTGATTTCTGAACATAATTACTGAATAAAGTATAAACATTTTACGTGACCTAGAAATCAAAGCCTATATTCCTATTGCATTGTGTGCTATAGAAAATTAAGTATCTGAAATCGGACAAAGAAAGATCCGTTCTAACACGTATATAGATATTGTTATTGTTAGATATTGTTTAAAGTCCGTTCGCATGGTAAATACAAATTAAGTTAAGCAGGGAAACCTATTATTAGCCTTACTAAACTGTAATATCTTTATTTTGTATCATATCATATGTATCGCTGTTGGTTTTCTAAATAAATAAATAAAAAAAAATAACACATATTTGATAATGTTTCAGTAATCCCCTGCTGATCCCGGACGAAGTCAGCGTGAAGTTTGACCCAAACGCCTTGTATTATGACATGAGCGGTGATAAATACCTCATTATATTGAACCAGCACACGTTCAAGAAAACTATATATTTTCAGTTGGTATTTTTTTTATTTTGTAAATTTTGGAAAACAAAATGGTAGCCTCGTAATTGTACCTACGTAAACAAACTTACACGTACCATCCACTCAATAATTAATTATACTTAATCACATAATCATCAACAGCCTATAAGGGGTCATCCATAATTTACGTCACATGAATTTCATGATTTTCCCCCTCCCCCCGTCCTTGTCACAGCTAGTCACATTTGTGAGACCCTCCCCCCCTAGTTTGATGTCAGAATTATGTATGTATACAAATTATTGAATGAAAACAGCGGTTCCGAAATCAGTTTTATTTCTATTTAAATTACTTACTTTATTAATACCAAATCAAACAAAATAAAAAACATTAATACAATTATATTTCGTGTTTTATAATAATTTTTGAAATGTGACATCACAAAGTTTAGGATCCCTCCCTCCGCCTTGTCACACAATGTCACACTTCGTCGACCCTCTGCCTACCCCTTAACGCGTGACGTAATTTAAGTAGCCACTGCGGGCAAAGGCGTCTCCTCACACGTAGAAGGTTTGAGCATTAATCTCCACGCTTGCTCAATGCGGGTTGGCGATTTCAAACTTTCATTTAGAAATTATAAACCCAAATTTCCTCACATTGATTTCCTTCACCGTTTGTCAGTGGTATCTAAATAATCTTAGAAAGTGTGCTAAATGTGTCGTGGTGGTCTGGAGGCAGTGGCGTAATTCTACAGAGTGGCAAGTCGGCAAAAGACCACGAGCCCCAGCTGAAAAGTGTTAGTTCAGAGGTTTTCATAAAGAACTTCTCTGTTTTTTTATTAAAAACAGGGGTCCATCGGTTGAATTTGCCCACGGGCACCAAACGACGTAGTTACGTTACTGTCTGGAAGTTTAAGATGTCTGCTTTTGATGCACGAGACGAGCATGCGGGTTCGAAACCTACCAACGGCACGTACCAATGTGACTTTTTCTGAGTTATATGTACTTTCTAAGATTATTTTACTTAATCATTTGTGTTATTAAAATTGTACCTCATTAGTATTTGAACGACAATGAATAATGCTTACAACTAATAAGTAAATATGATCAAAAATCAGTTAATGAGGCGAAATCCTTTATTTTTTCTTGAATGGCAACCGATTTATCCAATAAGGAATTTGCTAGTGAAACACCAAAATTAGACCGCTACTGTAATTGGACAAAATTACATCTAGCTATATTTGTGGCATCTGATGAGCAAAAATACGGTTGACGAATAGACCTCATTCGCTGAAGAAAAGAACATTAAAAACTGCTATGATTTGTAAAGGTTTTTAACAGCAATGTGATACCGAGAAGTGAACCTTACAGCCCAAGTCATAAAGTCTAATTTCACATTATTATATTACAGAAACAAGCAACCATCAACAAGAAATGGTACTGACAATGACGTGAAGAGTTTGAAAGCCATATTCGGGAACCTAGGATTCGAGGTCATCGTCCATAGAGACCTGGAATATTCAGACATTATCAAAAATCTAACTGCAAGTAAGTTTTTAACATTCATTGGAGATTGACTTCTTACTCACCCGTCATTACATATCATGTGCGAGGATGAGATTATTTTAATACATACATTTACGGCACTTAATACCACTGTACAATGGAACACCCACTTTTCACTATTTATGTTATAAGTCCCATGTAATAGCTGGTGAGCCTATTGCCATATACCGGGCACAATTCCAGACTCCGTGCTACTGAGGAATACACGTTGTCCCATTTCAGTTGCTTCCAAAGACCACTCGAAGACTTCTTGCATCTGTATCACAATCCTCACGCATGGTGACAAGGGAGGCGAGGTCCACGCGGCAGACCGGCCGTATTTGCTGACAGATATCATGGCCATCTTCGAGAAACAGCTGAGCCTCGTCAACAAACCGAAGTTATTCTTTGTTCAGGTAAATTATAAAGCCTTTTTTTGAGGGGGGAAATCATCCAATGACTTCTCCCTCCCGGGTGAGGCGAGAGGGACTGTCCGAATCTAACTGACTAAAAACCACCCCGTTCCTACTCCTGCACTTCGAGCCGGAGCCCCGGCAAAATTATAAAACCTAAGGGCTGATTCTTCCAACGCCAGATAAATTTTAACTGACGAATAACTTTGAATATTTGACAAAAACTTCCTCGTTGGCCGAGTGGTCGTAAGTGCGACTGCGTGGCAAGGGGTCTCGGGTTCGATTCCCGGGTCGGGTAAAGATTTACTGGGTTTTAAAAAAAATCTCAATAGTAGCACGGAGCGGCAAACAAGTACCCAGATTACCTGATGATAGGCAATCGGCGCCGGCCATGGACAACCGCAACAGCAAAAGACGTTAGATACTAAGGTATTGCTGGCCTTTGGTAGGGTCAAGGAGGAGGAGGATGAGGCCTCGGACCACCTTACAAGCATTATTTCATATCATTAAGTTCACGAAAAAGGTATAAATACGTATATACGTACATTTTATATCAAGACCGATACAAGACCTCTTCAGACAGAAACAAATAAAGAAGCTTACAATAATCTCTACGTTTAGTACCACAGAAAATTATAAATTTATATGTTCTGTGTTTACTACTAACAGGCTTGCAGAGGCGCCAATATGGACGCTGGTAACACTGTAGCTCTGGACAGTCAGAGCGACAGTGTGCTGACTATACCCACACACGCTGACTTCCTCGTGCTGTGCTCCACTGTGGAAGGTAATAGACTAAATAACTGTAATTATATAATAAACAAATTAATATTTATACTGTTATTTATAAACAAATTAATATTACGACTGTGCCAGACAAAATATTTTATTTTTTTTTGATTGTAGAAAGTACTCAATTGTTTACTCATATTGTCTATAAGTGTTTGTAAACATGTTCCTCTATAAAATTGGTTTAGGCCATTAACTAAAGATTGACAAAAGATTTTCACAAAATGCCCACTTAACTTTGGTTATGTATATTACAATTTAAACTAAAAGATAAAAATAGTAGGCATGCCGAATAAACATCAAACATCAAAGTAAACCAAATAGACCTGAAGTTCACACATCCAAATTCCAAAGTCGGCATTTCGGATATCATAAAACGAGTACTTATATATTCCACACAAAAACCAAACTAAAATCCTCTATTCATTATAACCCAATAATCTTCAATCAAAATTCAATTTCATAACACACACTAAATTCATTACAGACCACCTGTCCTACCGAGACATGTACGGCTCCTGGATGATCCAAGCCCTCTGCCATGTCATCAAGGAACATCACGAAGACCTGGACCTGCTCCACATGATCACGCTCACGAACAGGAAGGTAGCTTACGAGAGGAGCACCTATACACCTTCAAATAGGGCAATGAATAATAAAAAACAGATGCCAGAGACGAGATTCACTCTCACCAAGTTGTTGAAATTTTGAAGCAGTTCCGAAGCCTTTGTGCTTCGGATGTCGCTTATGTTAGGTAATAAAGTTAGGTTTTAATTGTTTTATATGTGTATCTTGTAATATTTGTTGCCTCAATAAATGTGTGTAAATAGTTAAAATGTTTTTGAGTTTTAAGTACTATTCATTTAGAGCAGCTATTAAGATCAATAAAGATTCTACACCTGATTTAACAGTGTTTCTTAAACTTTGTGATTTCGACCCTGGTATTTTTTTTACGGCATAAGCCGGTAAACGAGCAGACGGATCACCTGATGGTAAGCAATCGGCGTCGCCCATGAACACCTGGAACACCAAAGGCGTTACAAGTGCGTCACCGGCTTTTTGGGGATAAGGAGTTTTGAGGGTCGTCGTGGATTCAGGAATTGGGGAGATTGGGAAAGCGGAAGGTAATTGGGCCTCCGGTAACCTCACTCGGGAATTTGGAATTTGGGCTCAAAACCCCCAAATACCCTATATACCTACACATTACACACAACATCCTAACCAAAACTAATCGAAACATTAGTTCCTTTCGGAAATTAAAACCGCGACACCTCGAACAGTGTTGCGAACTTTCAAAAAAAGATATAAAAGAAACCTAATGACATTATCATCGCATTTAAAAGGGAAGCTATCGAAATGCCAGGAAATGAGTTGCCAGTGGCTGGTACCAACACTTTTAATACTAATCAGAGAAGTGCGCCATTAGAAAAGGAACCGATGTTAATCAAATTGTCATCAATCAAAAAACTGGTCCTTGCCATCGGGGAAAAAAGTTATATCCGGGAGGGAAATCAAGTTAGATATCGGCCGACGATTACCGAGATTTTTGGTGGAAGATTCAAGCGTATAGAGAATTGGTCAAATGGTTAAAAAAAAACGGCAAGTACCAATGCGAATTCTTCCGAGTTATATGTACTTTCTAAGATATAATATATCTAATGTAATACCTTCATGAAACTTATGGAGTGCAATAAAATATTGAATTGAATTGAAGAATATCTAGACACCACTGACAAATGGTAAAGGAAAACATTGTGAGGAAACCCAGGCTTATAATTTCTAATTATAAGTTTGTAATCGCCAACCCGCATTGAGCAAGCGTGGTGATTGATGCTCAAACCTACTCCGTGTGAGAAGCTTTGCTTAGCAGTGGGCATTTATAGGCTGTTGATGATGATGTGCCCAAGATTCGCCTCTCTATGATCCTGTAGTTTAATTAGGTATTACTAGTTTTAGTACTGTGTTGGCATGTTTCTATTATTTGTTACAAATCGTGGAAACCCGTAATTGGCTTCTTGTTGCATACCACATTCTATTTAATGAAATCGTATAGCTGTTGGTATAAATAAAGAAATGATTTTCCTTTGAAACGCACTTATGAAGTATTACACAGCACTCAATGAGTAATTACCAAATATATTCCAAAATTATACTTCTCTAAGGATACTATATTTTGTCTCTATCCGGGACCACAACAAACTTGAAGTCTCATAGCTTGTAACTTAGACAGGACCCCAGAGTGGGGGGTCTAACAAAAGGAAATGGAAAGTACGAGGCTTTACGATGACAATCGAACCTCGAATGATCGCGTCATCAATGTTGTCCGCTATATCTGTAGGTGTATTAAAATTTTATGAGTTTCGGCATATCTTATATCTTACTAGCTTTTACCCGCGGTTTCGCTCGCGTCACAAAAGGATAAAAAGTAGCCTATGTGACATATACTATCACATAAAGCGCCATCTATACCAATACTTTTGTTTTCCCTCGGGAATAACAAATTTATCTGGGATAAAAAGTACCCTATTATTTAATCCGGTCTTCTAACTTTACGTCTGCAAAAATTCAAAGCAATCGGTTTAGTAGTTACGGCGTCAAAGCGGAACAAACAACCAAACTCATTTTCCGATTTATAATATTAGTAAGGATACTATTATATAAGGCGGAGTGTGGTTTTTTTGTTTGTTTGTTTGAACGCGCTAATCTCCGTAATTACAAGTCTGATTTAAATAATTCTTTTTGTGTTGGATATCGCATTTATCGAGGATGGCTATAGGCTATAAAACATCACGCTACGACCAATAGGAGCTGAGCAGAGCATGTGAAACCGCGTGGAAGTACCTAGTATTCTATATAACTGCTAACTAGTACAGTGAAGTGAATAGTAATCAAGAGGTGAATAGAGATAGAAAAGCGGTTATTCGGAAATTCTTCATAGCATCTATTCACCAGTGTAGCTAGTAACCAGAAACATGTGTTCATAACCAGGTTCGACAGAAGAAATGAATGATCCTTTTCATAGAATCTTATGTAATAGGAAACCAGTAAGTGGATCATATAATATACAATGTAATACCCAGACTGCCTCGTTGGCCGAGTGGTCGCAAGTGCGACTGCCGGCGATGGGATCTCGGGCTCGATTCCCGGGTCGAACAAAGTATTACTGGGTTTTAAAAAAAATCTCAGTAGTAGCACGGAGTCTGGAATTGTGCCCGATATATGGCAATAGGCTCACCCCCCATTACATGGGACTCATAACATAAAATTAAATAGTGAAAGGTGGGTGTTACATTATACAGTGGCATAAGGTGCACTCTCTGCCTAGCCCTTCGGGTATAAAAGGCGTGATGTTATGTATGTTATAACACCCAGTTATGTTATGACTATTCCAGACTCCGTGCCATTACTAAGAATGTTTAAAACACCTGAAAAGTCCAATAATGCTCTTCACGACTCGGGAACCTGTTTGGTTTAAACAAACCCCTTGTTTAATGCAAGCACTAATCTGATTTAACCAAAGCAGTGACACCGATCATAATTTCTCAAGGGAATTTCAACCTTATTAACAACAAGTGTCTGGTAGTTGGTTAATTAATACCTGTTAATATTCCCATAAATAATAATTATCGCCCTGATTGCCTATTAATTGTCTAGGGAGAACTCAGTGATTTGCTAATAGTGTAATAGCGTGATTTGTGGTTACTGCGAAACTATACACTATACAAATATACATCTGTACATCTGTACATAATTGTCATAACATAACATCACGCCTTTTATCCTTAATGGGGTAGGCAGAGGTGAACAGAGAAGTAACACCCACTTTTCACTATTTATGTTATGAGTCCCATGTAATAGGGGTGAGCCTATTGTCACCCCTATTACAACAACAGGTACCAATGCGTCAGGATAGGTAATTTCACAAGCGAGGAACAGCGGAACACTGGTTTTGGAGTTCCCCAGGGCAGTGTTTTGGGTCCCACACTATTTCTAGTCTACATTAACGACTTGTGTAACCTTAATATTGGACACTGCAAAGTGATATCTTATGCTGACGACACAGCGTTAATTTTTTCGGCTAAAACCATTGGCGAATTGCAAGAACATGCTCAAATAGGTTTTAATACTGTGACTAACTGGCTTCAAGGCAATTTACTAACATTAAATGCTGACAAAACTAAATATGTACACTTTTCTATGCGAAAACCTCAACCCATCACTGATAACTTTCACTTATACGCTCATCAATGTAATAACATCTCAGTCCACATGTGTAATTGTCCTCTTATCCTTAATTCCCGTAACATCAAATATCTTGGGGTAATAATTGATGACACACTCACTTTTAGACATCATATTCAAAGTCTTGTAAAAAGAGTGCGCAAGCTTATATATGTCTTTAAAAAAATTCGAACGTTTGCTGATTCAAAACTAATCACTCAAGTTTATCTGGCTTTATGTCAATCTGTAATTCAATACTGTATAATATCATGGGGCGGTGCTTCAAAAACTATCCTGCTTCCTCTTGAAAGAGCTCAGAGAGCTATTTTAAAGGTTGCAAACTTCCATCCCTATTTCTATCCCACAGATCAACTATATAAATTTTGTAACGTACTAACAGTCCGCCAGCTCTTCATTTTACAAGTAGTATTAAAGCAGCATACTATGCACTCATATAATGCTAACAATACTAAAAAGAGACGGAATGATATAGTATGCAGTTCCAATGCAACTAGAAATGTTTTTTCCGAAAGATTCTTTTCATTTTTAGGTCCACTTTTGTATAATAGGTTAAATAGAAAATTAAGCGTTTTTACATTAACCTATTTTAATTGTAAAAAAACTGTTATTGCGTTCTTGCGTAATACTGCATATGCCAGACTGAAGACTTACTGTTGTCGACAGATAATCTGCTAACTCGCTGTTTTACCTTTTTACTTTTATGTTATTATGATTTATTGTAGTACTTATAGTGTTAATTTATTTATAACTTTAAAATGAAAAATATTGTACTGAATAGCCTGAAACACAGGTTCAACCTAGTTCAGCAAATAACTACTGAGCTCTAATCAAATCGTTAAGATATTATATTCATGTAAATATGTCCCTTTTTAAAAAAACAATTTATATTATTATTTAAGGAAAACCCTTTTTCTCGAAATTATTAAATTTCGGTAATAATATGAAGTTCACGGCCTAAACCAAGTGAACTTCATGGGTATTGTTCGGTGGTCTCTTCTTGCAAAACTTCCTAACAATACGACAGGTGTTTAGAATTGCTGCTTTTGCATGTTGTGTATGTGTTTTTGTGAGGTCTAGGATTGGATACCGTGATGTAAGTTTTTAGGATGACTCCCGTACTGGAGAGCACCAACGCACAATATATACTTTATTCATTTCCAGATTCTAAGTATTTCTTCTTTAAGCTCTGTATATTTATGTATCTTCTCCGTTATTGTTTTCTGTAAGTTGTGGGTATTTGGATGGCTATATCGGTAATATATACTATTTGTTAACTTTATCAATTAAGGTAATATCTGGTCTTTATGTGTACAGTTTTATCATTAAAATCTATCAAAGTATAATGTGTGATTTGAACTCTCCAGTACAGGTTTTGGTAATTGGTATATGTACGGCAGGCTCTGTCAAAAGTTTGTGTTTATGGCAAGTTGCTGATGATGATGTGTGCGACTTGATTATGTCGGTGTGTTAATCATTTGGGTGAGGTTGGACAAGCACTGGTGATATGCTGAATAGTTTCAGATTGTCGGTGGCATTTCCTACATTTATCATTTTGAGTATTGGGATCCTCATTATAAATTTCCTATAATTTTTTGTATTTATTACTTGGTCCTGAATTGCAATCATGAAACCTTCAGTTTCAGGGAATAATGAACCTATTTTGAGCCACTTGTTGGAAGCTTCAAGTCTATGTGTGGTTGTTCTAGATCGTGGATATGTCGCCCATGTAATTCTTTCGCACGCCATCTATCTATTTTTATTTTTTGATGATCTTTAACTGAGTTGAATTGTAAGTCTTTGTTATAAATTTAATGTGTATAGTTATTGTCTGTGTTTGTGACTGCTTCATGAATTTTACTATTGTTAGCTTTATCATAAAAAA